CCAGCTGTGCTGGTTAGTGTATGTACACACACACACACCACACACACACACACACACACACACACACACACACACACACACACACACACACACACACACACACACACACACACACACACACACCTATACACACACACGCACATACACACACACACACGAGGGATGAGAAGTTTCCTAAGGGATATACCATGGGACACAGACCTCAGAGACAAGTCTGTACAAGATATGATGGACTATGTTACCCAAAAGTGTCAGGAGGCAGTAAACAGGTTCATCCCGGCCCAAAGGGAAAATCCGAGAAGCAAAAGAAGAATCCATGGTATAATAGGGCATGTATGGAAGCAAAGGTACTGAACAAAAGGGCGTGGAGGAACTTCCGGAATAACAGAACACCAGACAGCAGAGAGAGATACCAGAGAACCAGGAATGAGTATGTTAGTGTGAGAAGAGAAGCAGAGAAAAATTATGAAAATGATATAGCAAACAAAGCCAAGACCGAACCAAAGCTACTCCACAGTCACATCAGGAGGAAAACAACAGTGAAAGAACAAGTAATGAAACTTAGAACAGGCGAGGACAGGTATACAGAGAATGACAAAGAGGTGTGTGAAGAACTCAACAAGAGATTCCAGGAGGTCTTCACAATAGAACAAGGTGAGGTCACTGCGCTAGGAGAGGGGGCAGTAAACCAGGCGGCCTTGGAAGGGTTCGAAATTACGAGAGATGAGGTCAAGAGGCACCTGTTGGATCTGGATGTGAGAAAGGCTGTTGGTCCAGACGGGATCTCACCATGGGTATTGAAAGTGTTCTGAGGCACTTTGCTTACCACTCTCCATAGTGTATAGTAGGTCACTGCAGACGGGAGACCTACCAGAAATATTGAAGACTGCTAATGTAGTACCAATATACAAAAAGGGTGACAGACAAGAGGCACTGAACTACAGGCCAGTGTCCTTAACTTGTATACCATGCAAGGTGATGGAGAAGATTGTGAGAAAAAACCTAGTAACACATCTAGAGAGAAGAGACTTCGTGACAACCCATCAACATGGGTTCAGGGAGGGTAAATCTTGCCTTACAGGCTTAATAGAATTCTATGATCAGGTGACAAAGATTAAGCAAGAAAGAGAGGGCTGGGCGGACTGCATTTTGTTGGACTGTCGGAAAGCCTATGACAGTCCCCCATAAGAGGCTGGTACATAAGCTGGATAGACAGGCAGGTGTAGCTGGTAAGGTGCTCCAGTGGATAAGAGAGTACCTAAGCAATAGGAAGCAGAGAGTTACGGTGAGGGGTGAGACCTCAGATTGGCGTGAAGTCACCAGTGGAGTCCCACAGGGATCTGTACTTGGACCTATCCTGTTTCTGATATACGTAAATGATCTCCCGGAGGGTATAGACTCATTCCTCTCAATGTTTGCTGACGACGCCAAAATTATGAGAAGGATTAAGACAGAGGAGGACAGCTTGAGGCTTCAAGAAGACCTGGACAAGCTGAGAAACTTGTGTAAGGAATCTTTCAGAACATTATATACCACATATGTCAGGCCAATCCTGGAGTATGCGGCTCCAGCATGGAGGCCATATCTAGTCAAGCATAAGACTAAACTGGAAAAGGTTCAAAGGTTTGCCACCAGACTATTACCAGAACTGAGGGGTATGAGCTACGAGGAGAGACTACGGGAATTAAACCTCACGTCACTGGGAAACAGAAGAGTTAGAGGGGACATGATCACCACATACAAGATTCTCAGAGGAATTGATAGGGTAGATAAAGACAGACTTTTTAACACAAAAGGCACACGCACTAGGTGATACAGGTGGATATTGAGTGGCCAAATGAGCCACAGAGATATTAGAAAGAACTTTTTTAGTGTCAGAGTGGTTGACAAATGGAATGCATTAGGAAGTGATGTGGTGGAGGCTGACTCCATACACAGTTTCAAGTGTAGATATGATAGAGCCCAATAGGCTCAGGAACCTGTACACCAGTTGAGTGACAGCTGAGAGGCGGGACCAAAGAGCCAGAGCTCAACCCCCGCAAACACAACTAAGTTCCAGCCATCAACCTCCACACGTTTAGTGGGTTGTTTGGGTGTGTACGTTATATCTTGAGGTTATCTTGAGATGATTTCGGGGCTTTAGTGTCCCCGCGGCCCGGTCCTCGACCAGGCCTCCACCCCCAGGAAGCAGCCCGTGACAGCTGACTAACACCCAGGTACCTATTTTACTGCTAGGTAACAGGGGCATAGGGTGAAAGAAACTCTGCCCAATGTTTCTCGCCGGCGCCTGGGATCGAACCCAGGACCACAGGATCACAAGTCCAGCGTGCTGTCCGCTCGGCCGACCGGCTCCCATACGTTAGGCGAAATAGTTGTGAAAATCCCTTGGCTGTGAGGCGGCTCGAACCCTGGACAGTGAAGGCACTCCCAGCTGCATTCCCTACCACTCAACCACCACTGACTGGCTAAAAGTCATACAACTGGACTTGTAAGACAAAAGTCACACAGACGACAGGAAGTGGCGGGTTCGACTCCCCTCACAACACCAGTGAGCGTTGACACACAAATACCACTACCGTGATCACAGTATTATACAGTGACGTGTGTATGAGAGAGATGATCCGGGGGCCTGCACAGTAACTCTGTGGGAGTCACGTGACCTGCACAGTAACAGTCGCTGCCACACTGTGGGAGTCACGGGACCTGCACAGTAACACTGTAGGAGTCACGGGACCTGCACAGTAACAGTCGCTGCCACACTGTGGGAGTCACGGGACCTGCACAGTAACAGTCGCTGCAACACTGTAGGAGTCACGGGACCTGCACAGTAACAGTCGCTGCAACACTGTAGGGGTCACGGGACCTGCACAGTAACAGTCATGCAACACTGTAGGAGTCACGGGACCTGCACAGTAACAGTCGCTGCAACACTGTAGGAGTCACGTGACCTGCACAGTAACAGTCGCTGCAACACTGTAGGAGTCACGTGACCTGCACAGTAACAGTCATGCAACACTGTAGGAGTCACGGGACCTGCACAGTAACAGTCATGCAACACTGTAGGAGTCACGTGACCTGCACAGTAACAGTCATGCAACACTGTAGGAGTCACGTGACCTGCACAGTAACAGTCATGCAACACTGTAGGAGTCACGGGACCTGCACAGTAACAGTCATGCAACACTGTAGGAGTCACGGGCCCTGCACAGTAACAGTCGCTGCAACACTGTAGGAGTCACGGGACCTGCACAGTAACAGTCGCTGCAACACTGTAGGAGTCACGGGACCTGCACAGTTGTTTGAAATTTCCAACATTAATAAACTACTATTGTATTATAATAAATCATTATTATATACTAACTACAGTAGTCACTAAATTTACTAACAGTAGTGTCAACATAAACTAACCATTACATCTGGGTATTAATGCCTGAATTCTCACGAAATAGAGCACCAACATTGCGTCAGATAATGTCTAGTTAAACACATTTATTACCAATGTGTTAGAGAATTGAATGTTGTTCTCTAAAATCATCAGTATTCCGTGTAATAATTACTTACGGATAATATAACCCCCAATAATCTCAAATCGAGAGTTTTTAGTTACAATTGTTATCAAGTAATAGTTTTTTCTGTCACGCGTGAATGCCATGGAGAAAACTAAAATCTTCTCCATTTCCCGTTTAACAACATAAGACGAGAATGCGATAATATTTTAATCCCTATAATTGCAACCCAGCCCTCATTAAAGTATTTCAACCACAATTACGCGAAATAGTATTATTCGTGGATTAATAATTTCTGTGGTGAATGCGAGACGCGGGTTGGGGAAGGCGGCGACGCCATTGTAGAGCGAGCGTGCCTGGACAGCGGGCGAGAGAGGAGGGTCCTGGCGTGAAGAGTGGCGAGACACGTGGCGATTGGGAGTTATCAGCAAGAATTACACTGATACCCAACTAATAGTGAATAATTATTCTTCCACGTGCTCGGCCAATCAATAACGCGTCTAGAATTAAAAGCCAAAACCCACAAACACGTGTACAACGCCGTGAAAGTTTGGCACTGGCAGACGCGATATCGGCCACTTCAGTAGTAACTACGCTCACGTTTAGTATAGTTTCTTTCTTGATGCATCATTTAAGATTGTATATTTGTGAGTAGTCCGTCGTTACATAGTGAGACGACCCCATATCTGTGAGTAGTCCGTCGTTACATAGTGAGACGACCCCATATCCGTCGTTACATAGTGAGACGACCCCATATCCAACGTTACATAGTGAGACGACCCCATATCCAACGTTACATAGTGAGACGACCCCATATCCAACGTTACATAGTGAGACGACCCCATATCCAACGTTACATAGTGAGACGACCCCATATCCAACGTTACATAGTGAGACGACCCCATATCCAACGTTACATAGTGAGACGACCACATATCCAACGTTACATAGTGAGACGACCACATATCCAACGTTACATAGTGAGACGACCCCATATCCAACGTTACATAGTGAGACGACCCCATATCCAACGTTACATAGTGAGACGACCCCATATCCAACGTTACATAGTGAGACGACCCCATATCCAACGTTACATAGTGAGACGACCCCATATCCACGTTACATAGTGAGACGACCCCATATCCAACGTTACATAGTGAGACGACCCCATATCCAACGTTACATAGTGAGACGACCACATATCCAACGTTACATAGTGAGACGACCACATATCCAACGTTACATAGTGAGACGACCCCATATCCAACGTTACATAGTGAGACGACCCCATATCCAACGTTACATAGTGAGACGACCCCATATCCAACGTTACATAGTGAGACGACCCCATATCCAACGTTACATAGTGAGACGACCCCATATCCAACGTTACATAGTGAGACGACCCCATATCTGTGAGTAGTCCGTCGTTACATAGTGAGAGGACCCCATATCCAACGTTAGTACCACATTAGTGTTTCTTCTATTATCATGAATATTGAGATTAAAAGTAGCCTATTCCAATGCTACTTAATATTCTTTAAAATTCAGCTTGTATGTGAGGAGTCAACGAGTCGTTATCATCATTCGTGTTATTCAACTCTAATTTCTTCTATGTGGAGATCCTGAGATCACGAGGACGAATCACAAACGATGTCATAGAAATCGTCTTAGAGCTAAGACTTTTTGTACACATTTAATTCTTCCAATTTGATCATTATACAAATTTGCAAGATTATTATATTGAATATTCTTACCATATATGATGACTCGAAATTTATGTGTTTACTTAGACGATTGCTCCGTAATTTAATAATCATTAATATTCACAATTTGAGTTCACATATTTGACTCTATAGTATTTCAGATCATAATATTATTTACTCAGCAATGAACTGGTGCACGAACCACACTAGTTCCTAGACGTATATGAAGTTCTAGTAATACCCCGCCAATGTAGGTGTTTGAGGCTCTGACTTTAGTTAATTAATCATACAGTCCATTCCTTATTTTAAGTGATTAGTCTTTCTAATACTTATCCATAGACACTGGGTCTTCAGTGCTTTATTAATGATCACTTATAGTTTCCCTCTTTTCTCAAAAGTGGGTGGTCCTTCGTTATTAAATTAAATAAGTAAATAACTGAATAATTGAGTCAAGCCCCAGATATCCCACAACAGTAACAGTCGCTGCAACACTGTAGGAGTCACGTGACCTGCACAGTAACAGTAGGTGCAACACTGCAGGAGTCACGCCACAAACTGCAACATTGCACACACAGATGGCTAATAGAATTCAATCTCAGCAAATGTAATTTAATGAGAACTGCTAGAGGGTAAGGTTGCCAGAAGTACATATTAAACCATATGTCTGTTGTTCCACTTGGAGCAACAGTGTAACGACCTGGTATCACAGGCTGGTTGAACACGTCTCTGACTGTCTTGAAGACAGTGAGAGGTCGGCCAGTTATGCCCCGGATGTACTAAGGTACAGTCACACCTATATGATGTTGACAGAGTTCTCTCTGAGCGTACCTATTGCACCTTTTCTTATCCAGATGATATGTTGCACTTCCTGCCATGCCTCCAGGTCTCATGTGGTGTCGTTGTGTGCACACAAGTTAAACAACCAACTATAATGTTGTCACCAGAACAATATATTGTGAACCTCACGCCTCCGCTCGACGGAAAATAACGTTACAAGACATTTTAGCGGTCCAAATAATTGTGTTGTTTCCCTGAGTGTGTGACAGCAGTGAGGGACCTGTACACGCTCTTCAGGTCAGCGAGGGACCTGTACACGCTCTCCAGGTCAGCGAGGGACCTGTACACGCTCTCCAGGTCAGCGAGGGACCTGTACACGCTCTCCAGGTCAGTGAGGGACCTGTACACGCTCTCCAGGTCAGCGAGGGACCTGTACACGCTCTTCAGGTCAGCGAGGGACCTGTACACACTCTTCAGGTCAGCGAAGGACCTGTACACACTCTTCAGGTCAGCGAGGGACCTGTACACGCTCTTCAGGTCAGCGAGGGACCTGTACACGCTCTTCAGGTCAGTGAGGGACCTGTACACGCTCTTCAGGTCAGTGAGGGACCTGTACACGCTCTTCAGGTCAGCGAGGGACCTGTACACACTCTCCAGGTCAGCGAGGGACCTGTACACGCTCTTCAGGTCAGTGAGGGACCTGTACACGCTCTTCAGGTCAGTGAGGGACCTGTACACGCTCTTCAGGTCAGCGAGGGACCTGTACACACTCTCCAGGTCAGCGAGGGACCTGTACACGCTCTTCAGGTCAGCGAGGGACCTGTACACGCTCTTCAGGTCAGCGAGGGACCTGTACACGCTCTCCAGGTCAGCGAGGGACCTTTTATCCGGCGCTCAGTTGGGCTGTTACTGTGCACGAGTATTCCATGTAAACTTGGAATACCAGGGACAATACCAGGGACAATACCACGGACAATATCACGGACAATACCACGGACAATACCAGGGACAATACCAGGGACAATACCAGGGACAATACCAGGGACAATACCAAGGACAATACTAGGGACAATACCAGGGACAATACCAGGGACAATACCAGGGACAATACCAGGGACAATATCACGGACAATGCCAGTGACAATACCACAGACAATACCAGGGACAATACCACGGACAAAACTAGGGACAATACCACGGACAATACCAAGGACAATACTAGGGACAATACCACGGAAAATACCAGGGACAATATCACGGACAATACCACGGACAATACCAGGGACAATACCAGGGACAATATCACGGACAATACCACGGACAATACCAGGGACAATATCACGGACAATACCACGGACAATACCAGGGACAATATCACGGACAATACCAGGGACAATACCAGGGACAATACCAAGGACAATACTAGGGACAATACCACGGACAATACCACGGACAATACCAAGGACAATACCAAGGACAATACTAGGGACAATACCACGGACAATACCAGGGACAATACCAGGGACAATACCACGGACAATACCAGGGACAATACCAAGGACAATACTAGGGACAATACCACGGACAATACCAGGGACAATACCACGGACAATACCAAGGACAATACTAGGGACAATACCACGGACAATACCACGGACAATACCAAGGACAATACTAGGGACAATACCACGGACAATACCAGGGACAATACCAGGGACAATACCAAGGACAATACTAGGGACAATACCACGGACAATACCACGGACAATACCAAGGACAATACCAAGGACAATACTAGGGACAATACCACGAACAATACCAGGGACAATACCACGGACAATACCAGGGACAATACCAAGGACAATACTAGGGACAATACCACGGACAATACCAGGGACAATACCACGGACAATACCAAGGACAATACTAGGGACAATACCACGGACAATACCAGGGACAATACCACGGACAATACCAGGGACAATACCACGGACAATACCAGGGACAATACCAGGGACAATACCAGGGACAATACCACGGACAATACCAGGGACAATACCACGGACAATACCAGGGACAATATCACGGACAATACCACGGACAATACCAGGGACAATATCACGGACAATACCAGGGACAATATCACGGACAATACCAGGGACAATATCACGGACAATAGCAGGGACAATACCAGGGACAATATCACGGACAATACCAGGGACAATATCACGGACAATACCAGGGACAATATCACGGACAATACCACGGACAATACCAGGGACAATATCACGGACAATGCCAGTGACAATACCACAGACAATACCAGGGACAATACCACGGACAATACTAGGGACAATACCAGGGACAATACCACGGACAATACCAAGGACAATACTAGGGACAATACCACGGACAATACCAGGGACAATATCACGGACAATACCACGGACAATACCAGGGACAATACCAGGGACAATATCACGGACAATACCACGGACAATACCAGGGACAATATCACGGACAATACCACGGACAATACCAGGGACAATATCACGGACAATACCAGGGACAATATCACGGACAATACCAGGGACAATACCACGGACAATACCAGGGACAATATCACGGACAATACCAGGGACAATATCACGGACAATACCAGGGACAATATCACGGACAATACCACGGACAATACCAGGGACAATATCACGGACAATGCCAGGGACAATACCACGAACAATACCACGGACACTACCTCGGACGCGGGCCACAAAAGGGGTAACTCCAAACAGGTGGAATATGGGCGTTGGCTGACGTAAGCGGATAAAAAACAACATTAAAACCATTAATTCCGCCCAAGAACGGAGTCGACGCCCACACGGGAGAAAAACACAACTCGACAATGAGGTGTAGAGACAGAGTTTCCCGCCAGCGACGCCATCTTTGTTTTGTAAGTTGGAATGTGGGAAGATTAGGATATTGGTATCCCAGGATGAACAAGGGAGTGAGTCTGTCTCCCAGGATGAACAAGGGAGTGAGTCTGTCTCCCAGGATGAACAAGGGAGTGAGTCTGTCTCCCAGGATGTACAAGGGAGTGAGTCTGTCTCCCAGGATGTACAAGGGAGTGAGTCTGTCTCCCAGGATGAACAAGGGAGTGAGTCTGTCTCCCAGGATGAACAAGGGAGTGAGTCTGTCTCCCAGGATGAACAAGGGAGTGAGTCTGTCTCCCAGGATGAACAAGGGAGTGAGTCTGTCTCCCAGGATGAACAAGGGAGTGAGTCTGTCTCCCAGGATGAACAAGGGAGTGAGTCTGTCTCCCAGGATGAACAAGGGAGTGATTCTCTCTCCCAGGATGAACAAGGGAGTGAGTCTGTCTCCCAGGATGAACAAGGGAGTGAGTCTGTCTCCCAGGATGAACAAGGGAGTGAGTCTGTCTCCCAGGATGAACAAGGGAGTGAGTCTGTCTCCCAAGATGAACAAGGGAGTGAGTCTGTCTCCCAGGATGAACAAGGGAGTGATTCTCTCTCCCAAGATGAACAAGGGAGTGAGTCTGTCTCCCAGGATGAACAAGGGAGTGAGTCTGTCTCCCAGGATGAACAAGGGAGTGAGTCTGTCTCCCAAGATGAACAAGGGAGTGAGTCTGTCTCCCAGGATGAACAAGGGAGTGATTCTCTCTCCCAGGATGAACAAGGTTATATCTTCTTGAGGTTATCTTGAGATGATTTCGGGGCTTTTTAGTGTCCCCGCGGCCCGGTCCTCGACCAGGCCTCCACCCCCAGGAAGCAGCCTGTGACAGCTGGCTAACACCCAGGTACCTATTTCACTGCTAGGGAACAGGGGCATAGGGTGAAAGAAACTCTGCCCATTGTTTCTCGCCGGCGCCCGGGATCGAACCCCGGACCAAAGGATCACAAGTCCAGTGTGCTGTCCGCTCGGCCGACCGGCTCCCTAGGGAGCGATTCACAAGGGAGTGATACGGTCTCCCAGGATGAACAAGGGAGTGATACG